TCCACAGCACAAAGGTTAGGCTTTTAGGGATAGGATAGGATATATAGGTATACAAACATTCATGTTAATAAATACTGTCCGATGGGAGAATAACAAGAAATCATTTAAACGAAAATATGTAGTAGATTTGTGTGTGTGTGTGTGTGTGTGTATATATATATATATATATAACTGTTTACTTCTTGAAACGGCAGCAAAAATCATTTTCAAGACTTCAGCACGTTCAGGTTTCCCTACGTCAAGTTTTAGCTGTTACTAGCATAAGCTTCAAAGATACAATTTTCTGCATGCACATAAACCCACTCACCTAGTGCTCTTCTCTCCTCTTCATGGATTTGATTTTCTTAGGCTCTGTGGAATGGTGTCTGAAATCTTTATAGGTCCCACAAGCTCTTTGAAGTCCATCACTAGTCTGACAGTTTGATCCTCTTCAAGTATTTACAATGGAAGTCTGTAGTTTGTCCACCATGTGGCAAACTTAGCTTCCTTCTACTCCAGCAAAGGAACAGACCCTGCATTCTCTTCAATAACTTTGTAAAGTACCTGGAACATAATCCTTAGAGCAGGCCTTTGTAGTCCTGTGAAGTTCTACTACAGGCAACCCCCTCTTAATGCTTTTTAGCTTGGCACTGTTTCACTATAACGCTCATTTGAAATTGATACCTGATTTCACTTAGTGCTCAGCAAGTTTTGCTATAACACTTGCGGTTGCCGTATGTTTGGTTTTGCTTAATGCTCGATTCACTTAACGCTGGATTTTTTTCAGGGACCAAGTAAGAGCGCTAAGCACGGGTTGCCTGTATGGAGTTCCTTCTTTCCAGCTCCTGCTTCTCATCACAAAGATCATTACTTTCAGGAAAAGTTTCAGAAACAAAAGTATAATTTTTACATGGCATTCATTGACCTAACCTTAAAGCTTTTGGCACTGTAAATCATGAGGGACTAAAAATGTGTGTTCACCTTTGGATGTTCCACATCCAGAGGTGTCATTTGGTGCTGCCATAATGGGATGATGGCTGAGTAGTGGAAAATGGCAAGATACTGGACCACTTTTTGGTCACAAATGGTGCCAAAGAAGGATGTGTTCTGGCTTCCATGCTTTTTCTCCATGGTTTTTATTGGCTGTGCCAGTAGAGGCATCTTGTGACACTGACAACATTTATTCAGTTTTGCACTGAAGGAAAGTGTTGGTTTTTTGTTTGCTGTTGGGTTTTTTTTTTTCCAGCCTGTAGTTCTTCAGTAGCAGCAGCATTTCATGTAAAGTAGCAGAACTGTTCACCAGAAAGCTCCTCTTTGACATTTAGTTCATCTCTCTGCTTATGCAGACTATTACTTAGGTTTTACAATCAGTTTAAGGAAAACTGAAGTACTGCCATAATCTATGCTGAAGGCTGCACATGTCTATCTGGTTATTACAATTTAACAATACTCCTTAAATTCAAGTAGAGGTTTCGCATACAAGATGAGCTACCATATAAAAGTGACTTTGTGATTTTATTAGTCCCCTTTTAATAAGGGGGACTAATGAAATGTGTATTTTAGAATGGTGTTCTATCAACTGTAGGACTGCAGAGATATGAATTTATACATTACAGTTGGGCAGCTGTGCTGTCAGTTCTCTTACCTTGTTAGACATGGAGACATACTGCCACCACTTAAAGTGCAACTGGAACTGACAGAGTTGTCTTCAGCCTGTTTTTGAGATTAAACAGCAGGACAACCTTCCCAGTATCAAAATCCTTAGTTGTCAGATGTTCAGCATTTAAATTTTTATGTTCATAAGTTCAGCTTTACTGGTTGGACACCTTTGTTCATATGGCTGACTTGAGAATCTGCAAGGCCATGTTTTATGGTCAGCTAAAGGAAAGCAACTGTTACCATAGTCGCCAGTACAAATGGTATAAAGAGATGTCAACATCCAATTTGAAAGGCGTCTGTGTTGACAAACCAACGGTTGAGAAGCAACAACCCACAACAAAGCAAGATAGCAACCGATCTGTAATTTCTGTTGGATTTCTCTCACAGGGTGACTCTAGGAGTAGCCTGCCAAACTGCTTGCCCATGATAGAAGTTGTGCAAATAGCTTCAAATAACTAAGAACTGTGCCTAGTGCCCATCACAGCCTATATCTGGATAATTTTAGCTCATCCAGCAGAATCACCCTGCCTGATTTGTGACAAGTATGCAAGGACACATTCCCCAAAAGAACTGTGTAAATTCCACACTTTCTTCCATTATTTACACTTCATAGGATATGATGCAAAAATATAGGTTATGTCTGTATAACATATAACACAACTTGATCTCAATCTTCTTGGGAACTCTGCACAACCATACTACAAGCTAGCAAGGAACAGCAGTAGTTAGGACTATGCTCTTGGTAAGTGGCTGTGACATCTTCCATGTCTTGTTTCTCTTCTTCCATACCACTTTTATTTGTTGCCAGATTATTTATATTGTAACAAGGGCCCTTTCCTTTCAAAGCCAAATCTCTCGTCTCAGTGGAGTCTTAATGCTGAACATGACTGCCCAATCATTCCTTAAAAACAGATTCTGAAGAAACAATTGTATTTCTGCAATTACAACTGTAGGAATAAATATTAAAATGAGGTGGTGCCTAAAAAACATAAATATATGCGGTAATTGTATTAGTGATTTTTAGCATGTTACTCGAGCAGAATAGCAAATCTGCAGGACCCAGGAGTGCTTTGGGGTATGGATTGTACCCCACTTCTGCCGTTTGGGTGTGCTTACCATTGTTGTCATTTTGGATCCTGGGTGGCTCCCTTCTCCAGTTGTGGCCCACGGGATCTTAAATGGCTTCTACTTCTGCCCTCCTTTCACTTCAGTAGGGGCAGTCTGTAGAAACTAATGGTTTTTGGTAGTGCACACAGACTCTTCCTCTGTAATGGCTCTGTGAATGTCTTGTTTGTTTGTCTTTGCTGGTAACCTCAACCGACTAGCAATTTTCTATTCGTTTGCCAAATAATATGCAAGTCCAAGCAAATATGGTTGGTTTTTTAATATAAATATTGATTTATTTATTTTTTAAGAATGTTTGTAGAGCACCAGCCAAATAACCATGTTGTAAAGTCCCAGCATAACCTTTAAAACAGAAAGGATCATTTTTCTGTTCTGTGTCCACAATTCCTTATTATCTATTGTACTTTGAAGGAGCTGGTACTGATAAGGCACAAATAAAGACAGTTCTTGGTTGTCACTTTGTTCATGTGGGTGTCCCTCTGCCACTGAAGCCACCGGACTCTGAGTGGCTGCAAGGCTTTATCTACCTGCAGTAACATGGCCTAGAACAAATCCTGGGTGGGGAGGTTCTCTGAGAAGCTCTGAGGAAGGTGTTAAATTACTACTTCTCCCCTCTTATAAATGGTGGGGTGAGGAAGGCATATGATTGACTGGGGTTAGTATTTGTGAACGTTGTGAAGGAAGTGGGTCTTAGAAGGAAGAGTTTTCCTTCTGTTTTTATGCCAAAGTGGTTGTTCCGGTACAGTTGTGTGTGTTTTTTTTTTTTTCTAAGATCAGAATATTATTCGTAAAGATGTCCAAACACACCATTTGACTGGCTGATTCCTGTCATTTAGGCTTGGCCTGAAGTCCTTTTTGTGCTTAGTTTCTATGAGGAGTACATTCTCTTTTAACCTTTGTTAAAGCACATATTAAAACGTATCTACTTTGCATAAAGATTTTAAAGAGAAGCTTCTGGTTCCAGTGGTAATTATCTTAAAATATAGCCCTTCTAAACTCTTCAAACAGTGCTTTGAAACAAAAGCTCATCTATATCCATTTTAGTGATTAAAGATGCATACATTTATTGCTGGAAGCAAGGTGCAGGGAAAAAAAGCTGGGCACAAAAGTGGGCTTTTTACACCAGTGAACAGTGCCTCCATATGAGGGACTGTTAATGTAGAGATTAAAAAAAAGATTTTAAGTTACTTTCTCATTTTGTTAAGTGTATGTATTGTACAGATCTTTTTTTGAAGCTGTGCATCAAATGTGTCAATAAAGAAACCTAATCGTTTACTTGTATATTATAACCATCTATAATGGTTTCCTCTGAATCTCTTACATTCATTATCAGCTGAAGCTCTGAGTTGCAGTCCTAGATATAGGAAGTTACTACTTTTAGTCCACAGTTTTTAATGCCAATTCCAATATAAACTGCCCAAATTCTTGTCTGCTGCAGACGTCTAATAAAGGCTATAGACACACTTTGCCCTGCAGACAGGTTTGCAGAAGTCTAGGTATTGCGCCTACAAGGATTTCTAACTTATTCCTCTCTAAGGAGACACATTTTCAAAATATGAAAACATTAACTCTGCTAATATCTATAAAATATTAAAAAATATAAGAAAATCTATGTGAGACTATGAAAATGTACTAACTAATTTTTGTGTGACTGGAAAAAAATTACATTTAAAACAAAAGGCAGGTATAGCAAACCTACCCTACCTTTCTCAACAGTAAGTTTGATTCTGCAAATATGATAATCACCAGGGACTGTCCCCAGACGACTGAATCTAAATGAGCTGCATGTATTTAGATACTATAAATCCCCTTCCATTCAGATCTGCATGGTTGAATATTACCACCATGTTTCCCCAAGAGATGGCTGTGTTTCAGTGGTGAGAAAAGCAATGAAGTAAGCATACTTTTTAGTAATTTGGAATCCTTCAGGGTACGAAATAAGACCTAAATATAAATTTTCACTATTACTATTAGAAGCCTAACAACTTGTTTGGCCTTGCCCATGTACTCAGGTTCAGCACCTCTGAAACAGACTGTGGGTGTGTCTCAAACTGGACACTCAGAATGAGAGATTACTTTGTAAAATGTATTCCTATCTATATATCCTGTTTCCCCATTGGTCAAATAGGGATAATCATCCTAGCCAAAGTTGTTAGAAGCTTATGGATCATCATTGCCCAGAAGTTTTCCTAGTGAATGGAGAATAAGCCTAAATAATGTTCCCGACTTGTTTTCAGGCTGTAGCAAAGTTGATGTCAGTGGACTGTCGCTGTCATGGAGTTTCTGGGTCCTGTGCTGTGAAAACTTGTTGGAAAACTATGTCACCATTTGAAAAGGTTGGCCGTTTTTTAAAGGATAAATATGAAAACAGTATACAGATATCGGACAGACTGAAAAAAAAGATCCTCAGGAAAGAAAAAAGCCATCGAAAAATACCTGTCCGCAAAGAAGATCTACTCTACATAAACAAGTCTCCCAATTATTGTGTTGAAGATCGTAAACTGGGGATCCGTGGGACACGGGGAAGGGAATGCAACCGTACATCAGAGGGCCCTGATGGATGCAATCTTCTCTGCTGTGGGCGTGGCTACAACACCCATGTGGTCAGGCATGTGGAAAGATGTGAATGCAAGTTTGTTTGGTGCTGCTACGTACGATGTAGGCGGTGTGAAAGCATGACTGATGTACATACCTGCAAATAAGCCCAGCTACCTTGGGGAACAAAACAAAAACATGCTACAAAGTGGTACTTATTTTTCCTGTGTGGGACTTGCAAGGACGGTGGCTTGTCTGAGCGATTAAAGAAGTGCTGTATTTCAGATAGTTTGGCTATTAACTAAAAAAGAATTGCAAGATGATTAGTAGCCTGCACAAAGTGATAGAAGCCACAGCAAAAAACTTCTGGTTCTCTAAAGTGTCTGGGTAGCTAGATGATGTATATCAATGCATCAGTGTGGCTAACAGCAGATATTAAACTTTTGAAGTGAGCAACAGCCATGACACAGTTAGGATCAAGAACAGTATTAAAAGTGTTATATGGTGGAGTAAATACAAGGAGATCTTAGTAGTTAGAGGCTGCAAGGATACTGGACACTTAAAAGGTGTCAGATGTAATCCTTTCTCCCATATTTTTAAGAATGGAGGCTGTCCACAGGATAGATTCACACGTGTGACTCCTTCCTGTAAACTGCTGAAAGAAATGTAGCAAAGCTCTAAGTTGAGTATACAGTGTTTGCAAAGCAAGTGTGCAGAGAGGCTACCCTACTGCATATTATAAAGAAGCTCAGCAATGTAAGTAAAGCCAATGGAGCCCCCATGGTTGGTGGGAACAATGGTATGTTTGGGTTTGTGCCATGCATGGCCAGGTAGAAGATGCTGTAGTACCTTCCACTAAATGCAAATGCAAACTTTTTCGTATTACATATCCCCTTCCAGATTTACCAGCTCCCACAAATGCCTATCAGCATATATTTTAACTCCTTAAATGCCAGTTGTTATTATAATGAAAATTTAATCTGCCATTACACAATATCTCCCACATACCCCCCCAGAGATGCCTTGCATACTCCCAGGAGCGCACATGCCAGAGTTTGGGAACCCCCGGTATATATAATAGTAACCATGTTTAGAAGTTTCCCAGGCTCAAATATGCTTAGAAGAACTAAAAGGAGGGGCAGGTGTCTGGGACAGAAATGTGTTCTGGTATCAGAAACAAAATCTCCTGCAGCCAGATCCTTAAGGTCCCATACCCATAAACTGGCTTACGTGATTGGAAACTGGTTTAAGCCTGTAACAGAACAGAAGTTCAGTGCACATAAACTACTTTCAAAAGCCAAAACCAGTTTAAAATAAACCTGGTTGGATGTAGTATCAAACTTAACTGATTTAGGTCAAACTGGTTTATGGAACTTCTGTCTCAGCTCCCTTCCAGGTTCAAGTTAACTCACAGTCCTCCAGCATCCCAGGATACTTTTCAGCCCTGGGCTGTGCTGTTTGCTCCACTGGAGCAATGACTTCTTCATCACTCTGCTCCTTAGCCTGCTGCCTGCCTGCATCCTTCAGCCCATAGGGATGGGGGGCAGGGGAACAGACCCCCAGACCTCCCTAGCCAGGGTCTACACAGCACATGAGGGGAAGGAAAGCCCTTGTGGTGGGGGCTTTTTGACCTTTGGAAGCCCTCTCCCCTCCCCCTTCTCACCTGCCGATTGCTTCAGCAGCTGCCACAGAAGGGAGGGAGCTTCCCCTCAGGTCCCCAGGGCTGCCTGGGCTGGGGAACTCAGGCAATGGGAAGCTGCCTGAGGGGGAGGCTCCCCCAAGGTGGACCAACTGGACAGGGGGCTGTGGGGGGACAGCAGGGGGTTGTCTGGGCTGGCAATGGCTGGCAGGCTGGGAGACATGCTGTAGTCCCCCCCTGCCTGCTGGCCTGGGTCAGTGCAGATCTCTCCCACATGTCCCAGGTGAAAGCTGAATGTCAGCTCAGTTGGTTATCAGTTCAACCTACACAGCTTGGAGGAAGCTGCCTAGATTGAACTGGTTCTGACTCAGGCTTTTTGACTGCCTGCACTTAGCCTACATTGGGTATATTGGTGTGGCCAGTCCACCAGCCTTCAGCCCCACTGCTTCCTTCATTGGTGGCCTGTGATTAATGAATCACTATTGTCAGCAGGTAGTAGCTTAGCATTTTTTCTCTCTGTGCCCATCCACACTCCAATGCGGAATACAGACCAAAGAAATTTGTCAAAAAGGGAAAGAAACGTCAAAACCTGAACTTTATTTTTCAGCCTTTTTAGTAAGTACAGTACTTAGAACATTTCATTAATTTGTTCCACAACCAATGTTGCTTTAAAGGCAGTTTCTCTTCATAATGTCTTGTATAGCTTGGCTCGCACCATTAAAATATTTAAGCTATTACCAATAACAGTTTTATATTTTTGGTCCCATTTGATTTTTATGTGCAGGCAAAGCATTCATTTTTTTAATGTAATTTTAAAAACTGGCTTTAAAAGCAGTGTGCGCAAGGCTTTGTTTTGTTACATGATAAGACAAAAAATTATATTTTGTAAATATTTAAATTATGAAAGCTATGTTAAAGGTTCGAAGACCCCTGTATTAAGTTCCCAGAACTAGCATGATAAGATTACCTCTGACATTTGTTCATTAAGTCTCTTCCTATTGGAGTAGTTTTAAACTGACTTTAATTTGCTTGTGCAGGGGAAAAATTATTTGAGCAAGTACATAAATGATTTATTTGTTATTTTCAGGGGATTTTTATATACTTCAGTTAATATACCAATTATGACACATTGTCAAGAAACTGCTGTTTGGATTTTTTTTAATTATCAACTTAGTGAGATTTTTTTGTATTTTCATTTATGGTACAGAAGAATCCTTGCTCATTACAGCAAATGGCAAGATCCCCACTGACTTTACTAAGACTAGGATTTTACCTATGGACATTTCTTACACTAACAGTCATTTTTAAAAACAAATAGGGATGGTAGGGTAAGATCTCCAAAACTACTTTGGGGGATGAATACCTAATTTTAATTGTTTTAATAGTTTAAATTTAATAGTTAAAACTCTGGGTCCAGATCCCAGAGTATTAAACTTGTGGTTCTCAGCCTTTTTATATTCAAGGCACACCTCAGAAAAAGCCAGCTTTTAGCTTTCACTTAATTTTTGACTAAGGAAAAATAATAAGAGGAATTCTTCTGCTGCAAAGAACTCAGAAAGACCATAGCAAATCAGAAATGTTTTTGGTACTATGGATTTCTGTTTGAAATCTCTGGGTTCATCTTGGAGGCCTCAGCTGGAGTACTCTGCCCAGTTCTGGGTACCGCACTTTAAGAAGGATGTGGATAAGCTCAAGAGGGTACAAAGAAGGGCCACTTGTATGGTTAAAGGCATGGAGGGTAGGCCCTATGAGGAGCAACTCCGGGAACTGGGCCCGTTCAGTCTGAGCAAAAGAAGGCTGAGAGGTGATTTGATAGCTGCTTACAAGCACATCAGAGGGGAGCATCAAGAACTAGGAGAGCAACTATTCAGGAGGGCACCTCAAGGGAGGACGAGGACCAGTGGGCATAAACTAATAGTAACTTCAGGTTGGACATAAGGAAAAACTTCTCTGTAAGGGTTACCAGAACCTGGAACACACTCCCAGCACAGACGGTGCAATCACTCTCCTTAGAGGTATTCAAGATGAGGCTGGACAGGTACCTTGTCGAGCTCATCTGAGCCCAATAACTTCCTGCCCATGGCAGGGGACCGGACTTGAGGATCTTACAGGTCCCTTTCAGTTCTATGATTCTTGTGAATTGTGTATAGGTGTTTTTGCACTTAACACCTCAAATTATTGATGTTATAGTAATTGGGGGTGGGGAGTGGAAGGGGTGTGTTATCCATATACACATTTCACTTGGGCCTCTGGCAGATATTAGAAGAATGGTGTGATTGGGATCTGAGGAATTTTATGCCCCGCCCCAAGCATTGTGAGTTTTGCCATACTGGATATGCACAGCAGAATGTAGTGTTTAGGTTGGTGCATATAATTCCTCATATCCAAATTGTACCTGTGGGTCAGGCAAGAGACAGCTCTGTCCCAGACCTCAGCTGAGGGATTGGGTATAAGCAGCCTCAAGGGAGGAGTCAGAGCTGCTCTCAGCCTGATCCCAAGGATTGGGCTAGAGGTTATTCAAGACCTTGGACTGTTCAGGGACAGTGCTGACCATCAGCTGATTATCTGCATCAGCCCCAAACAGCCCCGGGTCTGGTTCCAGACCCAGGGCTGTCTCAGGCTAGTGCCAACAACCAGGTGATTGTGGGCACTGGCCCTGGAGAGCCCTGGGGTTTAGAACCAGACCTGGGCTGTTCATGGCCAGTGCTGACAGGTGAACCAGTGACTGTTTCAGGAGGATCAGGTCCATTAACTTTTACAGCAGGACTATGCAACTGGAAGAGATTCCCCAAGTCATCAAGTCCAGTCCCTCAGTATGGCATTACAATTCTTCCATCTGCAATTGGAATACATAGTTGCTCTTTGAGACTATCATTTCCAAAATCTAAGCACAAATAAAGAAGGGAGATAAAGAGATATACCTAATTAAATAGGGCTGGTTTGCTTGACACTTGTATAATTTGAGATAGGTAGTTAGCCTGAAGTCAGTCACAAGGCAGACTAGATATGTACCTTTACAGGTTAAATAAATAAAATTGTGTACATATATATATAGAGAGAGAGGGGGGAGGAACCCAAGTTCACTTCATCAAATGCTATGAAAGGATTTTAGAAAGCAGAGTTCAAGAAGGAGAGATAAATTAGAAATTATAGGTGTTGGTACAACACTTATTGTTGGTGTGTTAGCACTTACTAGGAAATATGGTTGAGATTAATTAGAGCTAGCACATACAAATTTCTTTTCATCCTTAGAATCTAAAGTGTTATGAAAGACGGCTGTTATTATTCCCATTTTACAGATGGAAAACATGAGGCAGAGGAAAGGGAAGTGTCTTGCTTGAAGTAAGGGAGACAGCAATAGAACTGGGAACAGAATCCAGATGTGCTGAGTCTCAGTCCAGTTCTCTGTCCGTTACTAGGTTACTGCAGTTGTTTCCTTATCACCTTATAATGAAAAATGCACCACTGCATGGTGACTGACTTTCATATTATCATTTAATATTTATATCAGCACTAAAAAAGCATTCTTCTAAATTCCACTACTTATTTTTTAACACAAGTGATAATATAAAATAACTAATCAATCAACTAATCTAAAAAAAAAAAGCATTTCTAAAATATGGAATGTTGTGGTTTGTATTTCCAGAAAGCAAATATGATTCTTTGCAGACAGCTAGCAAATTCATCACTCCAATGCACTAACTCATATTTATGATTCAACTCATTTACATTTTACAGCAGTACAGAAAGAGATCAGAATCGGTACTTTGGATTATGTGGAGGGTTAAAAACGTGGCAATTTATTTTACCCATATCTGATCACAGTGATTTGTGATAATTCTGGTCCAGGCTGGAATTTGGAATCAAGCAGCTAATTCAAATGCTTTGCTCCTGATGTATGGCAGCTAACATTTAGCTAGTTTTCTCAACAATGGTCTGTAATAAAGAAAGACGCCAGGAGAGTTACTACCTTTTAAAAAGCATGCACATAAATTAGATATACTCCTTAGAAACCAAATAAAAGTCCAAGTCCTTGTCATAACTACATGGATAATGTAGTTATGCATTTTATTAAATTTGTAATTGGACTTGACCCTAGGAAGTTCAATAACAAATTTATTTTCATACAGAAGATCAGAATCTGGCTCAGAGTTTCACCATTTTTCAACTGTGAAGTTAACTTGTTAGAGCTATGCAGTTTTCCCCATTATGACTTAAACATTTATCAGTTTATCAGGTTTCTTTTATCATCAAAGTACCAATGTGTGTGCGCCAAAGTAGTATTTTTAATGTCCACAAATTTGCAACTTACCATTGGGAAATATTTTTGTAACCTCTTTCTAACAGCTCTAAAAATTGTAACCTCTCTATAACAGCTCTGAGAACAGCTGGTAAAAGTTTTTTATGACCACTTCTGTTTTCCACAGCAAAAAAACCCCAACAACAAACCAAAACAAACCCCCACAAAAACTTGACACTTTGACTTAAGAGTTAAAAAAAATGCAATATAATCTGGTGGATGATCTTTTTCTTTCTTTGCTGACAGGTACATTTGTGCCTCCTGTCAGCAACAGAGAAACAGTTCCATAACTAAAATGATAACACAACAGCTAGTCCTGTAAACTGAGAAACTAAAGAGTCACTGAAAAACAACACA